GCTTAATTTGAGTTGACCCAAGTGTGAAAAACTCTAGGCGTGTGGCGGGATTCAAACCCGCGCATCAGAGAAAGCCTTTACCGGAGGCTAATGCTCTACCGCTAAGCTTTCCGCCAAGTGTGAAAAACTCTAGGCGTTTGGCGGGATTTTAACCCGCGCATCAAAAAAAGCCTTTTCCGGAGGCTAATGCTCTACCGCTAAGCTACAAACGCCCGCTTCAAAGGTTGCAGGAGGGACGATAAAGATTGAAAATAAAGCTTACAGACTAAGAAAATTATTAGAACAACTACTAGTTTACATAATCAAGGAAGTATTTGGATAGGCGGAAATTCTACCTACTGAAAAGTTGGCAGTAGGTTTTAAATATCGAAGATCCCTGGAGGAGGTCATATGAGGAACTTTCACCAAACAGACGCTGGTAGTAAAGAAAATTTTGGAAGACTGTTAATATCATTTATAACACACTATGGATATAAAATGCGACAAAACCTCACTGTACTCTGAGGATGGCCACCCGCAAGAGCCCGACAGCTCAGGATAATAAAGAAACTGACCCGGTGCTCGGCAATTCTTCTTCCCTATCCAGAATACTATGTTTTTGTCTCCGTTTATTTATGCCTTTTGTAACGAAAGCATGCCAGTAAACACTGCGAGTAACACAGCCAACGCCGAAGTAGTAAAACAAACATGCTTACTACTACTACAATATAAGTAGTCAGTTATTGATGCATAGTCAACAAGGGCGTGGTGATCCATATAATAGATTGTTACCCAGCAAACAAGTGGCTACTGGCGGCAAAATGAAAGGGCTGAGTGGCAGAGACATGATGGAATTTACCACGTCGAACAATATGGGCAACTTAGCTCCATATTATTTTCTCTAGTCAAGGTCCAAGTACATTGCGGAGATTAATCATTTTCACTTTCTTTCAGTACATATTCTTAGTAAAGTTGCCCAGAAAGCGAATTAACTACGATGCGTTCCGTAAAAGCAAGTGTTTTCCGCTGAAAAATGTGTCAGCCCTGGGTGCGCGTGATATCAGGTAACTGACCTTCAAATCTGCAACAGAACAAAGTCAGAAAATCGTGCACGAGGTGATCAAAGTTAGGTAATTCGAAACGAAGAAATCATGCAATCCAGCGATCGAATCTTCTTCTTCTTCTCAAATACTTTCTGAGAGTCGGCCGTTCGCTTGCTTTGGCATTAATTAGGTTTATTTTCGCAATGGTATTTATGATGAACTTACGGGAAATTTTTAAGGGCTCGACTGAACACAGCCATGCTTCTAGAAGTCGTATCTGCGG